ATTCTGCTTTAAATAATTACATTTTATTCCAACATGTTAGTTGGAAGAGGTGTGAGAGGTGAAAGGCTTTTACGGAAGAAAGATACAAAAGGAAAAAAAAAAAGGTAAAAAAAAAGAAGAGGGGAGCTGAAAGGACACTGGAATCCTGAAGGCAGCACCTGACTTCTCAGAGCCAAAAACCAGATCCAGTCAAAACACAGTTGATAAAACACATGTAGAGAGATAAGGACTTTTTGCATTTGTCACACTTTGAAGGAACATTAAAGCAGCTTGATTTTCAGAAGCATTTAACACATAGACTGAATCAATCATCCAAAATCCTTCTGGAAGTCTTAGCCACTTCTAAAGACTTCTCAAAATCCCTTTGGGTTTTAATGCCTGAAGTCCAATATAATTCAGAGTAGGCTTTGTCTCCTCACACACCAACCCAAACCATTAGAAGGAACACACTGGGTAAGGTCAGAGCTCTGAAGAAATCAACGTTCCATTTTAGCTGCTGAAGCTCCTGTAGAGGAGTATCCCAACCAGCAAAGAAGAAATGGACGGAAGGAAGGAGGGAAGAGAGTTAAAAGTGATGTTAACAAGACAAAACCAGAGATTATCCCCCCTACTTGTACTGCTTACAATTTTCAGGGCATTATTATTATATGTTTTTGTCTATATTATTTGCTGTTTCTTTTAAAAAGTCTTGCCAAAAAAAGCAAAACCCACTGTGTTGTCACGACTTTTATTGCTTTATCTTAGAGTAGATAATGGGTTTACAATGCATGTATTTCATTCCTTTATTCCCAAATGGTATTGCAAATAACAACTTGGCAACCTGTAACAACTACTGACTTGTCAGGATATTTAGTTGACTATCTATGACCTGTTTATATTAAAAAAAAAAAAAATAATTGTTTTGTACTAATTGGAACGCAGATTTATTCCTGTAAACTGACAACATTAATCCTGGAAAAGCCACCAGTTCATGTGCTAACGTGGAACAAGCAGGGATGAGCCAGACCTCTGCAGATCCTGTGGATGTCCAGGCTACCCCTGGTGCTGCTGCATGAGGAGGGATGCTGAAATTCCTGAAAGCAGCCAAAGAAATTGGCTCTCAAGTGCCATAAAATTCCAGGGGCACCGCTTACAACCACAGTCAGCCCGAGGTATTTAGTTTAAGAATGATTAATCACGGTTGAACCAGCCTTTTGTTTCTTCTTTTTTGACATCTCAGAGCCCTTTCTAGTATTATTCCATGGATCTGAAGTCTGGCCGTGGCTTGATACCGAAGGAGACTGTTTGAAATAATTCCATTTACTTTGGCCTGCAGACAAGTCTTGGATAAAGGCTTCAGTCAAAACACCCCTCCACATCACAGAATGGTCTTAAAATGGCACGCAGAGATAACACAGCAAGAAGACATTAAATCTGTTGTGCACTTCAAAGTACACTGGGAGTTATTTACCGGCACCAGCATAGAGTGGCTGCAGGGAAAGCAGATTATTGACCAAAACAAGTGCTGATACAAGCTCTGAGTGCAGCATCTGCATGCAAATATTGACACGCAGGAAAAAAAAAAACAACTCACAAAGCCCAGGACTAAGGGAATTCCCCTAGAAAATGTCACCAACAAATCCTTCCCAACACAAAAAAACTCAGAGGAGAAAATGATTTAACGCCAACAGGGGCCCAAGAGCAAACACAGAGTAATTCTATAAATATGTTTGGAAACAAGTGTCTTCAAGTGAAAAACATTAACAAGTGCACATACAGGACCTAAACACATGAGAAACAACCCTGAGACCAAACTCATCCGAAAGTAAAATACTTGCTTATACTTAAAATTTGATAACACGCTCCAAAACGCATTAGGAAAAAGGCTTTGCATCTTATGACTCCTGGAAAATTTTCCAGGAGACTCTTTTCCAACATAAGAACCACCACATCTAACAGAGCCTGAGAAGGTTTACCACAAGGTCATGGATCTCTTCAGAGAACCATTTTAATGTTGCATTGCCCCAACCTACCCAGAAAAAGAATGGAACAAAGCCATTGCTTCAGGTTCTTCCTTGGATTTTTCCATATTAGCACAGTGAACAGGAACTACAGAAATCCTTTTGTCTCAGTTTAATGTAGATTTTATTTTACCGGTTTATAAATATTAACCCATACATGGGAACAAATCTGAGAGAAGTTGGGAATTAAAAAATAATCTAAATGTCACAATATATTCCCTTCTCCTATCTTAAAGTAATTTCCCTGGGACTCCACTGTTTTAAAATCCCGTTGCAGTCCATGCAAAGGCTGCTTGGGAACAAAAGGAATGGGAAGAGTGAGTCAAAAGGGAGCTTTATTTTTAAAAACCTCTATAATTATGTCTGATCCATGGGTCAGATGATACTCTAACCATTCATCTTCCTGCCTGATAATGCAGAATTCTTCAACTCTGTCACTGAGCCACAGGAATCCTGACTCAGGATTGGCTTCCAGGACACTCAGGCCTCTAATCTTCCATTGGATTACACACCATTCATGCCCGAAATTCTGCCATTTGTGGAGAGATAATCCTTCAGATGAAAAGGTCACCCAGTGACCCCCACATATTCTCTGCCTGTTTAGCCCCTGACCTGTTCAGCTGTAGCTAAAAATATCCAGCAGCTGCCCAATATTATACCATAATACTATAACAAAGATGAAAATTATACCATTGTTATACCAAACACCAGTCACTGGGATATCAGATCAGATATTACCAATGATTTAAAAAAACAATGTTGGATTGCTATTTCACACACACAAGAAAGGCAGGATCCAGAAGAGATGTCTACAGCTTGCAGTGCCAGAAGGTGTAGGTGTTCTTCACAAGGCACTGCTTATATAGAGAAGTGACACTGTGCTGAGCCTCCCTTTCCAAAAATTCTAGGACAAAATTTGCAAAGAAAATTAAAAGCAAAGGATAAAACCTCCCGTGGGGTTTGTTTTCCAGCTCCTCCTCCTTCTTTTTTTTTTTTTTCCCCCTTTATTTAATTTCCTTACCTGCCATCAGTTTAACAACAGTTCCCTACAGCCTCTCATTCTTTCCATTTTAATTCCATTAAGGGAAGGGAACCCCCAACATCTCTATTAAACTGTAATAAAGCAAAGTCTCCGACATGTAATGCCTCTAAGTCACCCGGGCATTACTGAAATTACTTAATCTGCAAAGTTCAGTGCTTGCCCCCCCTCCTTTGGCATTCCCAATCCCTTCCCAAGAGCAGCAGCATTATCCAGACCCATTTCAGGGCTTAGCTTTGGAATTGGTTTCCGGTGTTTTATTTCAGTGAGGGGAAAGCGGAACTACACAGAATTAACGTCAACTTGATTTTTCAATTGCCTTGCTTTTGGCAGCTCCTAAAACAAACATGCCCAGGAAAAGAAATATAAAATAGAATTAATTGATTGAATTGTTGCTCTCCCAATACATTATGTGTGTCCCTCTGTGTGTTCTAATTACCTGAGTGCAGGTTTTCTCCTTCTCCCCCCTCAGCTTGAACCACCTAAACACACTGACATGTGCAGTCTAAGCAAGGGGAAGAAAAAGAGTTTTTGTGGGGGAAACACAGAGTAAAACAGTCCCACTACAATCTAATCCATTTCCAATACTTAAGAATGAAATCTAGGAGCATTGTGGGAATCTCATGATCCTGATGGAATCGTTTCCAAATACCAGCACTGGTCCAACAGAACAAGATGAATAATATCAATGTATAGTGGCTCTCGAGGTTAGCAATTAATCTTTGTGTTTAAATAGTTTGCTGGCTACTTTATTCCAGTTATTAAATCCATGTACACAAAGTTCATGTTTTTAATAAAACACTACAAGCAGCTGAACCCACAGTTTATTAACCAGGATATCTTTCAGAACTGGAACACTTTTTGCTGTTATATATATTTCTTTTCCTAAGTGCCCCAGCAACCCAAATGCATTCTTTTTACAAGTCTTGAACCCTGCAGGTTGTAGAACTTTGGCAAAAGGGACACACACACAGAGACAAACATCTAACAAAAATAGAGGGAGGGATTTGTTATTTGTTATTTTCAGAAGACTGAATCTTTGAGATCAACTGGAGTGTAGACCATGAAAAAGCTGAAATTTTAATAAGCCTCACAACTTTTTGGATATTTGCAAACCAGTTGAAAATATTGTAGATCTCCAGCACACTTTGGGGAGGGGGAAAAAAAGGAAATGAAGGCACTGCTCCTCTTACTCTAGATTTTGTGAGCTTTTTATCTTTTCACATTATTAACAGATATAAATGTGTAAATGTCCAGGAAATTGCTGTCAATGTTCAGTACTCGAGTTGTATCATGATAATGCTCAAAAGCAATTATGCACTTACAGAAAAGATCTAAAACACAGAGGAACCCTTTTAGGCACTCAGGGCTAAACTAAGCTGAAGTCAACAGGGTTCCAAAGGAGGGGTGGTGACACTGGTTACCCTCGACATCCTGTGGGTTATCCTGACAGCCCAAAAATCTGCTACCTGGCTCAAAATTGCTGCTCACCAAACTTCTCACTGATTTCAGGGGCAGAAAAGTCCCCCATCTTTAGCAAAAAAACAAGGAGGAGAAGCCCAAGCACAGCCAAGCCCACAAAGGCATCTTTATCACTGCCTCTGGTCACCAAGCAACAGTCCCACTAACATACAAACCTAAAAAAAGGGAGAATTTCAGTCTACTGGAAGAGATAACTGGAAACACAAGATAACCAGGTAACCCAATGACAAACCCATCATCTTGAAAGCCTCTCCATGTGAACTGCTCTTAAGCCAAGCTGCCAAACAAAGAGCACACGCAGCTCAATTTAAAATAAAATAAAATAAAAAATAAATCCTAAGCCAAGTTAAATAGTAATTCACATTTAACCATATACATTAAAACCCAAAATGACAATTACAAAATATTGTATTGCTATGAACACTGTCAAAAGCTCTGAATAATAGTGCACTAAGGAAATATGTAAAAACACACTTTACCTTGTATCTCATTTTGGGGCAAGAATGGATGTAGAAACCCATATAATAAAAACAGAGATCAGGAGCCTTTTCATGAAGCTGCCTGGTAAAAGCAATTTCCCTGGGAAAGGAAAGAAAAGACTAATTACATTTGAGTACGATTCTTACAGTCATTTTACCTCTTCATGTTGAAATATTTTACAGCTACCTGGCTCTTGATCTATTTAAAGGACTAGACCTCTGAAAAATAAAATATGGGGATCATAAACTCCAAACTCATGTTTTTTAAAAAAAACCCCAAACATCATAAACTGAAAATTAAGACTTAAAAACCAAACAAACAAATCACCAAAATGCACAACACCACGTCAGGCTTAGAAATACTTTCCTTTCTGTGCCTTGTCCTGCCAACTGCCAGACTTGAAATTGAAATAAAAGTGATTAAGAGCCTGTGTTTAACAGCTTTCTTATTAATATTCATGTATGTTGGAATTCTACAGAAATCTGGCCCAGCCATTGCACAGACTGGCTAACCTGGCTCAGGAAATCAGAGTATTTTCAAAAAAAGAGCTTCAAGGATAAGCCTCTTCTTGTTTGTTCCATCATATGTGTCCCAACAATTTGCACGTAAAAACATCCACCTTTATGCAACAAAAGGGATTTTTCACCCACCCCATGACTGTTGGTATGATTTTCTCGCTTATTTTCAAAATAAGTTTGTTTTTTATTTCACTGGCACAAGGAAAGCAGTGCTATTACAAAGGCTCAGCCAGTGCTTACCCTATAATGATCCTTTTTACAGCATTTCTAACTTTGCAGATCACTTTTGTAACTGATTTAGCAAAACAGGGATGTGGGTTATTGCTTTCAGTGACAAAGGAATAAGATGGCCCTGCTCACTGCAGGGAGGTTGGAGAAATGACCTTTAAAAGGTCCCCTCCAGCACAAACTCCTCTATGATCCAAGGGATCAGTACATGAATATAGGAAGCATGTGCAAATCCTGGAGATCCTTTATCACTTAAGATTAAATTAGTAAGAAAGATGTTTCAATGTAGTGAAAATTTAACATTTCAGTGGCGTGTGGTTTGCTGAGACCATCCTGAGTTGGTCATAACTCAGTATCTGTTCAAAACCAGGGGTCTGACCAGAAACTGAATCTATTCCACATCTTAAAATCCAAGCAAATACAATAGATTGCAGAAGTGAGATTTATACCACTAAAAAAAAGTACAAAGATGCAAGATATCATGCATATTTTCTATACATAATCTTCACGAGCCACAGCATGAAATTAAACCACCTTACTGTTCCATGCAGGTTATCCTGGACCTAATTGAACAAACACCTTCCTGAAATTCAAAAGCTGGAATACTACAGGGGGAAAAAAACATTATTGGGCTGCAGCAGCTTCATGCAACCAAATTAGTGCCTCTGATAGGAAAGGGAGCTTGAACTACTGCCAGTGTCTTCACACGAGGAGTCAGGTAGTGAGAAAAACATCCAGCTCATCAATATAAAATTCAGACTTAGTATTTCAGTGCCACACAGCCCAATTCCAAAAGAAGTTCATGTTCCTGTCCTCCTACTAAAAGAGATGATGAGCACTATGATTGTCTGCTCTTCATGATTTTAGGTAGCAGGGGGAAGGTTTAACTTCCTGATCATGTGAACAAGAGTCACTCAGTATTTCTGGATGGTTTGTTTTCCCCCCTCTGGTAAGAGTGGTATTTCCAAGTATCTTCTCCTCCCCTCCTTCTTTAATCCATGCCTACGTATTTCAAAGGATCCTCAAATCCCATCCTTTCTACGACTCAGCAGCAAAAATTCTCCAAGTGGCACGAGGTGGAAGTGCCAGCACTGCAAGGCAGTTTAACCTCCTCAGAGCAAAACTGGCAACAGCTTTGACAGTATCAGATTCCTTTGCAACTTCCTCCATCCTCCCCAACTCCACTTTTTTTTTTTCCTCCCTTTTTGAAAGAAGAACAAGGTTGGCTCCCTCTAAGACTGTTGGGAACTTGTTTTTATTGCCTTAAATGCCACAGAATTTACAAGCTGCTTTTTCCACAAGTTGAGCCCCGGTGCACTGACACAGCTTTAAATTTGCTATATAGAAAATTTAAAATCATTTCAGGAATTCAGAAGCGTGGATTATGTCGGTCTATTATTACATGAAGTAATGTGATATGTACAAACATTAAAAAAACAACTCTAGGAGGACTTGGTGTTTTATGTTATATGTTCACCTTGCAAGGAAAAAATAGTCTAATTTCAGGTATCTAGCATATGTAAGCAATGAACCACCAGGCTGATGTCAGAAACTTAACAGTGAACTTGGTGGGAAAAACTCTGACATCTGCATTTGTACAACTCATATAAGGGTTGTTCAGAAATCACAAAGAGAACACATCCAAAAGGAGAATTAAAAAAAATACAGATTTTGATTAGGATCTCTTGATCTCCTAAGGATCTAAACAAATTCAGGTTGGACTTCTGAGAGATTCGGTTGCACGTGGTTTATTAGTTACAAAAAGCAAAAGTTTATGAAGTAATTGTGATATAAAGTTTCCTAAAAACAGTGTTTGTGCTTTAGTTAGTTCCAGTCATGCCATTTACCCACCCTGCTGGGTAACACTAAAAAACTAAAGCTGAGAAGCTCCACCTACAGAGAAGATGCCTCTCAACAGGATACCTTGGAGAGAGAAGAAAGCTGGACCTCACAATTTCAGTGCTTCTTTTGGACCTGGAGGAGCTCAGTGCAAACCTCAACAGGGAAAAAGAACTTGTGCTGCAGCTTCTCAAACTCAGACTCGGAAAAAAAAACAAGTCTGCCACGAGGTTCAAACCCAGGGAACAGCCCAGCACATGTCTGTGACCAACTCACCTCATGTGAACAGAGAAGCAAAAAGGTAAGGAAAAAAAATTGAGATGCACAAGTATTTCCACTCACTATGGGCTTCCCCCCCCCATTATAATAATAATGGAATAATAACATTGCTTGTGAAAGAAAAACAGTAACTTGCAATTTCACATACAAGTCTAGTTCACAGTGACATCACCCACTATTCCTACTGTTTTGCAAGACTGTTGATAGTTAATTTAAGGTTTTAAAATTCATAGGATTACTCCTTCCATCAGCCTTTCTAAAGGCAAAGATAATGAGATTAACATACCTGAAAAATACACTTAGTGCTAGTACAGCAGGAGACTACTAATTCAGAAGACAATGTTTTTTAGGTACTCTGTTGTTTATGATCTCAAAGTGCATAAAACTATAAAAGTGATTAATTTCATTTGCTGACTAGGCTAAGAAAAAGGTCAGAGGAAAACTTATTTCTATTCAAACAAAAAAGGGGCTTTTCCTGCTGAATCCAAGCAATGTTAAATTATTTTTAGGGGCAATAAAAACTAGGTATTTAGTTTCTGAGTGTTTCCTTCATCTGTAAAAGTATATAGCCAGTGAGAAAGATACATCCCTAGCCTTGATGACAATTAAAAATTTATTTGGAATGTGACCAACCACAGAGAATTTAAAAAACAAACCAACAAACACAAAAAACAACCAGAAATATTTTGCTAGGTATAGTGTTACCAGTATATGTTTAGACTGAAAATAAATGCACATGTATAGACACAAAAATCAGTTTTTACTGTTACATCCAAGCAGGTAATGAAAATGCCCTCTTACCGTAACGCAGAGTAGACTCCCAGAGATAAGAAAGAGAAGTCTGGATCGTAGTACAGATAGACAGAGGACACACAGTAGGGCAGGATATCAATGACACCAACAGCAATTATCTTCCCATCCAGCCAGTACTGCTGGTGGAAAGATCCATAGCCACATTCCGGTCCGTTTGGGGTGTGCTCTGCCTGAAGGAAAACAAGAGAGGGATGTCAGTGCCTGCCACAACTCCAGGATGAAAACAACCTTGGGAAGAATTTTAACACACAACTAAATACTGGGGAAAATTACTCTGGCCTTCTGTGTTCAGGAAAAGAAGGAATATGAAAAGCAGGGAAAGCAGTGTTATTTCAGTGGATCATTTGTGACTCTGCTGTATTGATGATGGGTAAACCCCAGGTATCACACAGCCCAAACACCAACCCGAAATAGCCACTGAGCATTGATGGGACTGACAGGATAAAACAAGGTGATTCATCAAGTTATTAATGCACTATTACAGGCAAACAAATTCTGCAGGCACCCTTTAATGTGACCAACCTACCCTCCAACAAGAGATGAAGCCCAAGGGCAGAGAGGTGAATGCCATGTCGCTGTGCCAGCCCTTCCCAAGGACCCCTCTGTTTGTCCCCAAGCACTGGCAGCACTTTGGCCACAGAAACTGAGTTTCTCACAGTGGCCCATTAAATTTACATCAGAGGAGCATTTCATAAAAAGAAGTGAACAGTTAATTCTTTATGCAACATTTGCTCTTTTAGGGTTTACTCTCTCAAATACCTTTTACTTAAGAACCTGAAACTGTGTTGCAACAAAACCTGTGGAACTGCTGCTCTGTCAGCCACGTCAGAGAATCTGCTGCAAAAACACCGAGGGGCTGGCTATTGTTGTGTGCTGTGGTTTTGGATGTGCAGTGAAGTTTGCCTCTGGATGGGGTAAAGCACCTCCAGCCAGAAACTGATGCTTCCAGTTAAGAAGAAAATGATCTCCCAATTTAAACTGTATTACACAACCAGCTCTGGCATTCCATTTTCTCCCACGTCAAGTTTACTTTAATCCCGAATTCCACTGTGCTCAACTTAATTATCCATCTAGTCATGTTTTCCACTGCACTGCCAGGTCTTCAGAAAGCTGCTTCTCACTCAATAAATCTGACAATATTGCCTGCTATTACCAACTGCTTTGCATTACAACAACAGAAGGTGGGTTTAATCAAGTATTTTGATACAGTAGCACAGGCTGGAGAGATGATGGGCAGGAGAAATTACTCTAATTGGTACCACATGTGTCAAAAGAAAATCCATCACGTGAGCAAAAATCATTCCAACTGAATCACCCGACCAGTAAAGTCCCAAACCAGAGGCCACACAACAAACTGATTGCATTTTTATACAGTCATACAGCACAAAAGTAGATGTGGAGCTATGAATACTCAAAAAGTGAACTGGTTAAGCATTTGAGAGCTCCATCTGCAGAATAGGAGGATGGAAAAGACTTTCACCCAAAGCAAAGACTTCTGAAGGTAAAGAAATGCTGTGTCTGTGTGTGTGACCCCAAACCTCCAGAGAGCATCCCAACGGTTTGGTGACTGGAACTCTGCAAACTGAAGTCAAAAAACTTCTGGTGAAGTCCAACCTGCAGTTATTTCACTAATGCAGTTACAGTGAAATGTCAGCAACATAAAAGAGTCTGTGTTCTGTAACAAACATAACGAGCACAGCACTGATTTCAGGCAGAGTGCTCGGGGATCCCCATTACATTAAGCAAATAACATTTTAAAAAGAGCAAGACTTTCCTCCTCCTTCCAAAGTCCTCATACAATGTAATCCTTTGTAATGCCTGTCAGGGTTACGTTTTCTCCCATTTCTCAATGAATACTTGGCTCCTTTCACTTGATTTCCTACTCACCATCCAGGCAATTTGACCTCAACCAGGTCTAGAGTAGGAAACATTTTCCTGAAGCAGGTTATGCCGTTCCCTCCACTGACATCTCCACTGGGACCATGTTTGTCAGGGGTGATGTAAAATACACCACTGACATCAGGTGAGCAAGACCCAGCAGGAGGGGCTTACCTTATCTAACCAAAATTATGCCTTGGCTTGGAAACAGTCCAGAGGGACCAATTTATTTCAAATTATCAGTTTATACTCATATTTCAATACAATGAATTATTATAACCTGATTATATTGAGGGAAAAAAAAAAGAAAAAAAAAAAAGGAACTAAATCCAGGACAAAACCACATAATTTTCTCTCCAATGTTTGGACTGTAATGCAGAGAAAAATACAATATATTCCATTACATGTTAATTTTACCTGTCTTAGTGTTCTGCTAGCTAATGATCCATGAACATATTTGATTGCTCATATTTTAAAACACATGATTAAAATTTAAATATTTAATAGAACTGGCATTATATATTGCCCAATTAGTGCATCTCAATGTAATAACTGCTTATAATTGAACTTCAGTGATGGTGAGAGTGCTCAATTTTCTTTGAGGCACATTGGTCGTTCTTTAATTTTTAAGAGGTGTTTTACTTATAATTACCAAAAATGGGTCCTGCCCATTCACCCCTTCATTATTTTCCTCTAGAAGGTTGAATGAAACTTCATGTTTTGAACCTTTCCATTTTTCCCTCCCTGTGGATGGCAGGAGGAGGAAGTTATGAAAACCACGCTATCCCTTACCCAGAGGGAAAAAAAAAAAAGGCAAGAAACTCTTGACTCCTACACTCCAGTGGAAATTATTTGCCAAATAAGCAAGGTGATTAATTCCAGCAGTTCCAATCTGAGTAGAAGGACAGAGGTCTGAACTCAGAGGATGGATCAAATAATGGCACTGGTGGAGTCTCCATCCTTCGAGCAGGTGATCTCAACATGCCCCTTCCCACCTGAACAGTTCTGCGATTCCAGATCAAAACCAAGTAAATCAACTCACTGCACCAAAATACGACACTCCTTACAGAGCCAGCTTCTGCACCTGACTGGGAAAATCTGGAATCTGAGCCACACTCACAGTGAGCTTAAAATCCCACAAGGATTAGCGAGGCTTTGAGGGCACGAAGGACTTCAGCTGCAAGAGACTTTGGGCATCACCACACAAAGGTCGTGGAGATGATGGGGGGAAAAAAAGCAATTTGCCAAAATCTCTCTCATGAAATGTGTTTTGATTTAGTCCTGAGCAATGTATCAAATGCAAGTAAAATATGACTTCCTACAGAAGGAGATCCTGGGAATTACAGACCTGTGATGGTGTCATTTTATTATTAGATCACTAAGAATTAAGTGTCAACTCAATAAACAAAATAATGCAAAGCAGAAGCTGATGTGCTTTTTGAAGAGCAAAGACTGAGATTCACAAAAATCCTTCAGTCCCTTTAGCATTCAAAAGCCTCTTTGGATGTTTAACAGGAAACAAAGTGGGAGCAAATGATCCTTTGCACAACGGAAAACAGATCCCTTTCCATCCTGCTGGATCCGTGTTCTGCAGGTGAATCCCTGAAGACTGAAGGATGTTGCAGCCAACCAAGATCATGGTTTAAAAGTATTCAGGACAGTTAAACAAGAACAAGAGCAATTAGAGAGTAATCTGAAAACAAAACGAAATCATCCTTTGACTGCAGAACGCCACAGCACGTGCGAGTGCTGAGGCTCACCCCAACTGCTGTTGGAAAAACTTGAGGAGAACAAGCACTGAGATGACTGCCAGTGATTCTCTGAGCACCCAAAACCAGGAATCACTCTGAGCAGTCCAGATTTTCCTCGTGCCCTTCTCCCCCTGACAGCAACAGGGTACCAGGACACAGGGTTTGGGTGAGTCCTGCAGGCCACTCTGAACCACCACAAGGCTGTATTGGCACGTGTGAAGTGGTAAAATGGCAAATGTTTAAAAGTAGCCTCTAAAACAAAAGGATGGTTAAAATAACATTCAAAAATCTCTTTACATGACCCTGTTTACTGCTAGAAAACTGCCTAGTTTTCTGCTACTACACACTGTATCATTTTTTTTTTTAAAGCATTCATTTTTTGTGCCAAAGCCCCTTAGCCAAAACAGAAACCAAACTGAATAATAAATTGAGAAAACAACAACAAAAAAAAGACAGGAAGAGTTTGGGTGTTCATGCTATTTGCAGCTAATAATAACATTAAAAATTCTAAACCCGACAAATTGAAAACACGTTAAGGTTTAAATTCTATTCTAAATTATTTTTGTTCAAAAGAGTAAACAGACTGTACACTGCTAGGTTTGCTTGTGGCAACTGCTCCAGAATAAAGAATTTCAAGAATCCCGTGGCCTCTGATATATAACCCCTTTTATTTAACTTCATCTAATTGAAGACATCTGCGGTGGTGCCACACAAAATTTAATTCAAGCTTGGAAATGTCAATAAAAAGTGTCTGTAAGAAACAATATCAGCCCAAACCTGGCAGGGCAGCGTGCATCGACATCTACAGAGCCACACAAAATGAAGACTAGAATGGCAGTCTGCTGCCTGAGCTGACGAGGTGATAAAAGCCCTTTTCCTATAAACTATAATGAGCTCTATTACTCTTCAGCCTTCAGGAATGTAAAGGCCGGTGGACTCGGCAGAGAAAAAGCAACAAACTCTCCACACATGGATTCATTCAAAGCGCGACAGATCAAATTACCGGTGTAATTACTATAACCTGACAATTTCATTACAGTCACGAGGCCCTTAACTCTTTAGGACTAACAAGAGAGACAGTGCAAGAAATCCACTTGGAATCAAAGAGCAGCCACTCTCCTCAACCTTTACCTCAGACTGGAGTCAAATACGAGTTTGGCAAGTTACACATCCTTTTCTTTTCACAGAAATAAATCAAAACCCAGCAAAGACACAGCACTTTCTGTAGTTTAATACCCAGAAGTATCATCACTTCCTTACCAGTTGGTGATGATGGAAATTTTGTGCCACCCACCCCTACCAGAATGGTTGGCTGACTACAGAGAGTGTAGAAGAAAAAGAAACAAACATTAATTTCAGGACAAATCCTTACCTCCAGAGGAGAATCACACAGGAATCGTGTGAACTGCAGCCAGGTTGGTTCATCAGCAACGTGTGCCCAAGGGGACAGTCCAAATATGCAAAGCAGAAGAACAAAGAAAACTATTAGCAGTGCTTTAAGACACATTAATAGTCAAGTATACTCTTTTAAAGCCATATCTTTGAAAAGCATCATCAGATTTTAAATTAAATTTCCATAAACGAGCTCTCACATTCTGTTTAGAAGTACAAATACATTGGTACCTGCCCCACCACTTAAGCAAGGGGGCCAGGGCTCTCATAATTCTTAAAATAAATTAAGTCACTTTACATTCAAAAATCAAAAGCAAGCCCATTTTAAGTCTAGAGAACAGGAAGGGAAAAGGAAAAAAAAAAAAAAATCAACCTCCTGAAAGTGCATTTCAAACCCGGATTTTTTTACTCAATAGAAAATGATGTGATGTAGATAATCAACCAAAAAGGTAATATTTTAATGATCTGTGGCTTGTCCAAGGTTCTAAGAGTAATAAAATATAACATTTATTCACTACCATTTACTTATTTGACACAAATACTTCCTTATTAATGGATTCCACATTAAACATGTTACAAAGTTCTAGTGTGTATTTAACCCCCAAACATTCCCTTGTTAAATAACCAGTGTGTGTTACACAGTTTAATTCCCCCTCTTGTATTAGCTGGGTGATTTAATATGTCACCAGTTCACAAACTGCAAGGTAACAGTAAACAGGAATGTTTCACTAAAAGTTTGATAAAAAGAATATATAGAGACACCTATAGAACCCTGACTGTTGTTAAGAATTCTATTAAATTCTGGGATTAATTAATTAAAGGGGAATAAAAAAAAATATGGGGTGATTGCTTGTCAGTCATCCCACTTTTCCCAGGGAAGGGGAGGAGAGGAAGGCAACAATAAAATGTACCAATAGTGTAAGTTGCTGACTTAGAGTTGCAAACACAGCCTGAGGAAGTGAAACTTTCTCTTTTCTTCAGAAAGTCCCACAAAGCAGATTTTAGAAATCAAAACAAGCCTCTGGTGGACAACTGATACTGATCTGCAAACACTGCAGCTCAGAGTGAAGACAACCCCAACCTCTAGGGCTGTGTCTCTAACCAAGAGCACCTGGGGATGCTGAAAGAGTCAGGACTTTTCAGAAATCACTTTTCAAAGCTTTTCCCCTCCAACACAGCAGCAGCTGATCTCTGGATGAATGATAAACCTTGTGGAACAACACTGAATTTCATACAGTGCTGCTGCAGGCAGGGGAATGTACACTACCTGGAAAGGGAATTAAACAATTTGAATTTTTCAGTCATTTTCCTGCAATGAAAGAGCAGAGAGTAACAAATTCCTACACCCTGAGTGCATCAGTCCCTGCAGTCGATGCTTTTAGAAAGGGCAGGTTCCAGAAAAAAAAATAAACCATGTGTTATTAATTTTGGTGTCAGAAGACCCCCAATAGTTCTTAATCTGTAACTTCAGCTTTATAGTGCAAGTTGAACCCCAGGGTGAGAAAACTGTGCCCACAACACTTCTCAAACAGTTTTATCAATTCTCCAGGCCCTGCTGGCCAATCCCTTGGCTTTCAGGGTGAGGGGGGGAATTTTTGAGTGCACCAAAGCATAACTTCTGCTTGCTGGGGAGTATATCCTGTTACAGCTGTACTGCTGGCTTGGAGAAAATTCCAGCTGCACTTGAATTTGGATCACAGTCTTAAGGGGAAAAAAACCCCACATTGCAAGTCTTGTTATTTGTATATTAATAAATATTATTAAACAATTTTCGCAATCCAATCCTCAAAAAATTCAGGAGACTCTGAATCTTCCCCAGATGTCAATTAAGAAACACTTACCAAAAAAAACCCCCCCAACAATTTATTGTTGTGGGTTTATTAATTTTCTTTTTAAGGAATAATTTAAATCACACATAGAGCTGGAGAATATAATAAATATTTTAGGTCCACTGATCTTCGTTGTTATCTTCCCTTACTCTCCCCTCCCACCCCCAAATCCACAGCACTTACATCATAACCCAGAAATATACTTATTTTAAAAAGAAGAAAACATAAGATTCTGTTTCTAAATGAACAAACTCCCTGCAAGATTATTCTGAATGCAATTAAAGATTATTCAATAAACCATGAAAGAACTACAGCCAAAAGCTGATGCTGCATGTAAAATAACTCACTATGTCACACAAGCACAATTAAAATTCCTTTCACAAAGTCATGTTTTTCTAATTTTAATTTCCAACTGATTTACATAAACTTGAGCCTTTTAAAAAGCAATATAATATATATGAAATCCACAACATTTTTACTTTGCTGCAAACTAATTACAGCTGCCAGAAAGAATCAGCACAGCAACAGGGAATAAGTTTAAACAGGATTAATAAAACTAAGAGATGAACACATCACTGAGAATTAAATCAAAGGGAGAAAAAAAAAGGCAGAAAAGTAAAGGGAGAGTTGGGTTCAACCCAAAGCTACTTGCTGGAGTAAAAAGCACATGCACAGCTTTAAAAAGTGGCAATAAAACCAGAGTGTTAACACCTGCTTCCTTTTACAAATGTGGGGAGATATTCAGATGCTAAACTGGAATGGGTTTCACCTGGAAGCTCAGGGACCTTCTGAAAGGGAAGGTTTGTGATGTCACACAAGGACATGGTGGCCTTCTCAGGAAAACACAAACCACAGCTCTCAGGTCTTCAGTGCAAAGACATCACAGGAAAGCTTTCATTTATCATCTTCCCTCTGGCAATATTAAGAGTTTGCTCTTATTTGCAATCCACTGTCAAGGAAAATTGAGTATTTGCCCTTTTTCTTGGGGGTGAGGAATGGATATGGGATTTGGGCCTTTCTTCTTTTTGTTTTTATTTTTTATTTTTTTTTTTAATCCAGTCTCTGAATGGGATGAATACAAACCAAGGATTTTTGGTGGTGGTTTTCTTTGCTTTATTTTTCATAAGTGTGCCAGGCTCATAATAACAACAAAAAATTACAATGACAAGTAATACAGGCTACAGATCTTTTCAGTAAGGGTTACTAACAACCCCCTCCCACGGAAAAAAAAAATGACAAAAAGCAAACAAGAAAAGGAAGCTATTGAGAAAAGTAGATTGAAATTGAGCTGGAAAATTAAGAAAGGAAAATGGGACAAAAAGTATCATCTTTGCATGAAAGGATGGTGCCAAACCACCCTTGAGCTGGGCAATATACTGGGGCTCAGTCAGCAAAGGAATCAGACTTATCCTGGGACTGGATATTTAACACTTTCAACAACTGCTTACAAAAAGACAGGAATGCTAAAAAACCCTCAGTTTCAGAGTTATAAACAGACCTGGATGTGAAGAAAGAGCCTTCAAAACATTGCACTTGAGGAAAGAGGGGATCTGAAGGCTAAATGCATGTCTGAAATGCAGTTTTCATGACAAGAACGGGGCTCGGGAAAGAGAAATAATTGCTGATTCTTTAAATCAGCGTTACCAGAGACCTGAAATGCAAGTTGATGGCAGTGAGATGTGCTGCCAAGGCTGCCATCAACCGAAATGACAAAAGAACTCATTCAATGATAAAAATGGATAGCTGTTGAGGGAAGCCACAGAAAGTTAAAAATAACCACCAAGGCTATTGATTTTTAAGCATTGTCTCACTAAAAAACAAAAGAGAAAACTAGGTTAGAGAGACCTAAAAGTTTGCAACTGGCTGCTGATACCAACTGCTGATATTTCCCAGACTGCTCCCTCAGTTTTCTGGATTAGTTTGAGTGGATTCCTGGGAGGCAATAAAAAAAAAAAAAGAACCAACCCTAGAAAGAAAAAAAACCCACTCTAGGTATTTCAGTGATTTTTTTGCACCTTTCCAAACAGTGGATCTTTTGTGTGCAGCGAAATTCTTTTCTTCCAAGACAAATATTTAGTTAAGCACAAAGCAAAGAGAGTTTCACAGAGGGAACAGGCAGATATTATTTTTCTACAAGTTTGTCATTGTAAAACGCTGGTGAAAAGTTAAATACAGGGCTTGTTTCAGGAGGTCTAAACAGCAATAAACTGTTCACTCTGGCTCTTTCTGGAAACTACTGTACAATTTTTTATCATCTTTGATGGAAATGTTTTCTAACTTGTGTAGCTGCCACTTTTCAGCTACACTTCAGCAGTGTCTCTTAAAGAGTAAAAAGACTTGAGGATCAAAAATCACCTTAATCAACTAGGTGTGTTGTATCAACGTTTTACACCACACAGATCAACCATTAAGTTCTCTAGAGAAGAGGTAGGAATAAAGAAATGCTTAATTTCAAATTTTTATGTGGTAAACATTAAAAAGAACTGCTGGAGATACCCACTATTCTACCCAGACTACCCATTGATTACTTCATTGGGATCAAAATATTTCCTTCTTGTGATGAAAAGGCCAAGGGGAAAAAAAAAAATGTTTTGACTGCATTTAGTTCCCCTCAAATCTTTGCCTCCAGACCTCCTCCACACCTGCATCCATCACTTAAATACCAAGGACCACTCACAGCACTCCATGAAGGCCCAGAAGAAATGCAAAGAGTGCGACAAACATTAAAACAGTTGTTTTTTTTTTTTAATAGATATTTTCACAGCTTCCAAAAATGAGCAGTCCAGGCACTTGACTAATTCAGGAGTAGCCTTTGATAAATTTCTCCAGTAGGCAGGGATCCACCTATTTTCCACGATTTACCTCGTTCACAGGCTATTTAAACCTTACCACTTCACAATCTGCTGAGGTTCCCCCTAATTCTTCTAATTTTTCCACCAACTATTTTAAGATAAGAATACATATACCCCTAAAGCAGCAGATGAGCATGCATTTACACTGCAGATTAATGAAGTTCTGTGTTCCCACAGGGAAAAACTGAAAAAAAATCAATTCTTCCACAGTACTCTTTAAGGGCAAGTATTACGAAGAAACCTTTAATTAGGAAATTGTTTGCTGTGTTTGTCCTCAGGACACCAATTCAATTCAATAAAAACACGCTGGCATAAATATTTTAAAGGGCCAGCAACTTTGTGCAACATCATTTCAAAGCTCAGAGACAACCAGATCAGATTTGAAGCTGAATTCCTGCAGCAAGTGGCCAGAGGTTTTTGACAGGGGTGAGAAGATTTCCAGGTAAGTTTAATTTATACCAGACAAATTAAGAAAAAAAAAATGGGATAATGTAAGGCAACACCTATGGCAAGTAACAAGGAAAAAGGAGATAAAAATCCATTACACTGTAAGCAGTGAACAGAAATCCATCTCCTTCTCATCCAAAAGCAATTCCCGTGACAGACTTTACACCTTGAGGTGCTGGAAACCTGACTGTCCTTAATGCATCTTTACAGGCTAAAATACTTCCATCATAGCAGAAGAATCAAGTCCCTAATCAGACCAGGTAATGCCTGGTACAAATTTAGTAAACAGCTCCATCTACCTTGGCACGTGTCCAGTTTTTACATTGTTATAATTAAACCCATTTATGTCAGTAATTATAAAAAGGGCAGAGAGTACTACTTACTGTTATGAGAACTATTATTTTACAAAACAAAGTGAAATGGATTTTATGACTACTTATTGTTATGAGGACTATTATTTTACACAACAAAGTGAAATGGATTTTATGGCTTTCTAGAGTAGCATTACAGACATCTCACAAGAAAACAAAAAACAAAAAAGCTCTCCTTACGCTGCCTTGAACTGAAGCCAAAAATTATTATGGGTTTTACTCTTCTACCTGGAAAACAGCCACACTCTGGGAGGTATCACTCTCAAAAACAGAAAAGCCTGATTAAAGAGCTGACCAATATTAAAGCTCTACATCTGCAGGAGACAGAAAATAGGTAGAAATGACAGCTCTGAGGTTGCAATTTCATGAATTCTGCTAATGAAGAAATGGAGAACTGCTGCTTATTTGGAACCCCAGGAGTACTTTTAATTATTTTTTTAAATTTATTAGATTAGGATTAGCCTCCTGTAAACACCATTTGAAGAGTTCTAGCTGAGCACTGTGCTTAGCAGTGGAATGGGAATCAAAGTGAGATTAAGCAAGACCACGAAAAAAACTAAGGAGAAACATAGAAAAGGCAGCAAACAACTTTAAGGTAGAAGATGATTTTGTCATCAAGAAACCACTTCCATACCATCACCTTGTTTCCAGTGGAAATCTCACTCCCCAACCTCTTTCCAAATCATGTTTAATCTCTCCCTCTTCAGCTCAGTGACCCCTGGGCCGAAGCCCGCAACAGAATCTTGCTAAAAAATTCAATGCTTTCCCTCCCAAACGGAAATTGCAGTGTTTTAATATTTAGAATCGCTCTCAGAGACACCATTTCCCACCACTGAACTGTGCATTTCAACAAGATGCTTTCAGAAGGGTGCATGCAGTGAACTGTACCTCATTTTCCCCACAGTCAGAAGGTGTGTCCTTGTGTACAGACATCTGATACTTGGCAAATAAAGTGGCAGATTGGTTGAAGGATGATTTGAACTGGGGGTCCTCAAAGGAGACAGGTACTAACCTCACCTTCAGAGCAAGGGAAATACAACAAGCATTCTATTTTGAGTGCATATCACCAGATAATCTGCTTCTGAAGGTAAGGCTAGTGAAAGATCTCCTCCTATCCACTTCAAAGCCTCTGAAGTCAGTTTTCTATTTTAAGACCCCCTGTAGGAGAAAGTCTGACAACTATCACCACGCTTAAACTGCCTGCTGATGCTTTCATTAAAGAATAAAAGCTGTGTAACACCAGAACACTCCAAAGCAGGGAGTCTGTTCAATCTATTTTTATTGACCGAGTATCTAACAAATCAACCCCAAATTTGAGTTTCATTGTACAGCCTCAAGGACTTTCAAAATGTATTATAAGTTTTAATTGCACATCACTCGTTTCTCTCGATCAGCAGTTACATATTCCTGCTACATACACTAATTTTCTTTTTTTGCTTTTCTTTCTTTATACTTTCAGACAGGTAAAGTGTCTGACAGTTCGCCCTTACACTCCACAAGAAGCACTAACAATCTGCAATTTAGATGGAGTGCCCAGATCACTTTTGGAAAGGCTCAGATTGAAAGTTTAACAGAACTGCTCAACTCCTGGGAACCTGAAACCAACAATTTGTGTGACAAACCTTGGCTCACACGTCGGCCCTGGTCGTGTTAGTTCCTCCTCGTGGAAGTATTCAAACCAGAGCCAACGAGCCCAGTCACCAGGCTGAGTGCCCAGCTGGATTTAGTTCTTAGGAGATTTGTATTTATTAAGGCCCAAAATATCTCTCTCCAAGAGCCTCCTCCTCTCCATCTCTTACCCAAAAGCATCCCCATGTAATGTTTGTAACTTTGCAGTCTGCAACTAAGACCAAATATTTGGGGCTCTCACAAAGAGGGATAAAAAGAATTTGCACTTTCAGGATGTTGATTTCCTTCAATACAGTATTTTAAACGCACAATGGATGTGAAATCCACATTTGTTTCTCCGAGAACCAAGGCACGTGAAATGGAGGGGGAGCTTTGCCCAGGATTAATTTGGCCTTCTGACCTGATTTATGGTTGGTTTATCAGGTGGGTCCTTGTGAATGACCATCTGGTAACGTTTATAGACCTGGTAAGACTCCTGAAATGTGGCTTTGAACTGTGAACTTGGTGGAGATGATCTCACCACCCTCACCTTCAGAAGAAGTTAAACACATTTATTATTACAATACAGACAGTAATTAATATTAATAATGCAAACATCACAACAGAGACACTTTTTAACCTCGTGCACAAGGGCCATCACAATTTAAATAATATTAGCCAACAGCCCTCTAATTCTTCAGCTCAGTTTAGGCTACTGGAGGCTTTTATACTTACACTGAATAACATACAAGGCTGTCAAACTGCAAATTAAGATAATTAAAATGCCTCCAGAAGAAATACACAAACACTTTTCAGGAAATAATACCAACTCATGGTACTGCAGATCAGCATTTTAAAGACATTTCCTGTACTGCTTAGAATATCCACCTGTAGTTTCATACTACACTAAGACACACTTGAAGGACTTGGAAGACTCAACTCTGTGCTCTGTTTTTATGGCAATAATCCCAAGGAGATTTCTGGATATTTTTGGAAACTGAAAGAGGAAGGCGAAGCAGTTTTTCCATACTCAACTATGAGTTAACTGCAATGAGGAGTTATCAGTCTTCCCATCATTGCCATTAAACAAACAAAAATAATTGAAAAAAAAAATCTTGATAAATTAAAAATTGTCCTTAGTAAAAAAAATTTTTCCCTAAGCAGAAGAATGCTATGACATGAGCAGCAGCAGTGCATGTCTTCTCAAATACATTTAAAGTCAAGCCAAGTGATTTGCAGAATGGTCCTATTTTGACAAATAATTAGTTGGTTCTGACCTATTAAAAAACACCACACTAAGGAGCACAGACAACCTGAGAAAACACTGCTGGATTTTCCCTGCATCTTATACATTAAGGTGTTCAGATAAAGCCATCGTGCTTCTGCTATTCAACCCACGAGAAAATGGGGAACAGTTAATGAGATGAATCAATTTCATGGCTTCCAGTCAGTAAATATTTTCATTTCCAAGTACCATCACTGAAAACCGTCAGGAAAACACTCATGTTCAGATAAGTTTTCCAGCTTAGAGAAAAAAACAAAAACAAAAAGAAAAATGGCTTTATATGATTACCAAACGTTAGAAGGTCCAAAAGTCTTCCAGTCTCTAATAGATGTAGTGGCAAGCAGTATTTCAACCAAACTTTTCTACCATCACTTTTACAGCTTTCAAAGACATCACCATGCCCCAAAGACCTACATAAAGAGCAGCTCTCTTGTTATCTGCTTCATTTGATGAAGTTACTGCTCTTTTGTCAGGTCTCATTAGCACAGATAGATACTTTAAGTATTTATATGCTCCAGAACTAAATATTGAATTTCTCTCATCATTCAACACTTGGTTAATTCAAAGCCTTTCATTTTCAAGTCACGCTGCATGAAATCAATTTGCCAAAGTTATTTTGGTCACCGTTGCACTGGTTTGTGCTAGAAATGACTGCACAGTGCAAGAGTTCCCTCCTGTGGTTACACACAGCTCAGCTGCACTTTATATATAAATATATATCTATATCTGTCTAATGCAGTACCACATATATTTCAAGGTTTAAAAACTACAACTACTCCTTAAGATCACAAATAAGCATTTCAAAAAACCCCTTAACCAGACTTTTCCTTCATTTGCCTCCCCCACCAGCGAACCAGACATTACCTCCAATTTGTGTCGTGCATCCTCGGGCAAAGACACAAAAACAAAGTCTTCAACGCTTTTAGGTTGGTTTGTTTTAGGTTTGGAGTTTTGCAAGAGGAAAGCTTGATCTCCTCCTGGAAGCTGAGAGCCTTCTAAGGGGCACTTCTGGTTCTGGAGGAGCTTCTGCAGCTTCCTCTCTTTCCGAATGTCCTTGGCTTTTCGACACAGGGGCTTGCTCAGATCAGCCCCTTTCCCTGCAAGGGCACGGGCAAAGAGTTAAACGCCACATTTCACAACAAAGGAGCCGTTCTTGATGCCATCAGCGAAAAGAAATGGCTACAATCACCACTAATTGCACCTGTGGCCTGAACTCAGCATGGCCTTTTACATTCACAACCACCAACACCTGATGCCAAGCCAAGGATTCTTTTAGAGCTCTTTAATGCAGCGCTTGAGTCTGGGATCACCTTCAGCTGGTTCCACCCCAAAAGCAAAAACAAATTTACAAACCTGAAACACTGGAAAGGACAAAAAAAAACCCAACCACAAAACCTCCCAACCAAACTCAGAGAATTGTTCTACCACATTTGAAGCCCACACGTGGCTACAGGACAAACTCCTGTAAAAGACACACACATAAACCAGCCCCCCCCAAAAAAAAGGATTTCTTTTTTATCACCTGGAAATCTGTGGGCACTGTGCAGAAATGCTGCCAGTGCCATCAGTGCCACTGACATTTGTGCTACTTGTGCCCTGTGACAGAAAAGGCCACAGAACTTTACATCTATGCTTAAAATTATATTCAGATTGTCTGTTTTAAACGAATCAATTCACTTTTGTCAGTCTGCCTTTGACAGATCAACCACTTCTAACATTCTATTTGTGAAGTGGTATTTACTAAAAAGAGAAGCCAGACCACTGTACCATTTCCCATCCTGACCCATTTGCTCTCTAATACTACAAGAAGTTCAGTTTTAAAGCAACACAGGGACATACACAAATAACAATTCCAGTGTTAAAAAATTCCTCAGTGATCAGTCCCATTAGATTTATAATTAGGATATTAATGTAAGATAAGAAGCCATGATAGAAGAATGGCAGTACTAGAAAAAATAACACATAATTTTCTTCAATTAAAAAAAAGGTCTGGTCCCCATGCTACCCTCTATAGGCACTTAAAAGATGGCAGATGAGCTGGAAGCCAAAAAAAGACCCATATTAAAGACTTCAAAAAGAGAGGAAGAGTGGGAAAAACTACCTTCATACAGGGAAATACAGTCACACATCTTGCACAGAACCAGAAAGGTAACCAATATTATTACAAGCTGCTGAAGAAATCCTTTATACCATTACATTTCTCCCCAAATCCATGTATTTGCAAAAGATATAGATGTATTTCCTGTTCTCTACCCACTTCAGACCTTCCTATGGGCAGTGGGAACAGTGGGATCCTTCTACAAATTGGAAATGCTGAGAGCACTGATATTTTGAAAGCTCACTGGTGTGTTCAGAGTCACTTCACCTGGATCTGCTGCCTGAAGCATCATCTTTCTTTACCAACAGAAACATCATGGAAATCGGCAAAATAATTAATATTGGGATAATTTTAAGTACCAGCAATGCTGTAAAATATTCTTTTTAATATGCCTACCATACAGAATTTACAGACTTTCTAAGTGTTCTCCTGGGGCCAGTTATTGGGAAGCTCTTTGCGGCTTGTCCAGAAGAGTTCCTTGTCTGGTTTCTCCACATGTTCCCAGCACCCCAGGGCCTTGGAAAAGGAGCTGCAATCCCTTTGGCACTGCTCAGACATCCTCCAGTGGCACTGGCAGATTTTACACTGGAGGTTTGTTTGCTCCCACAATGATTCACCAGAAAAGGACAAACCCGAGGGAATTAGGGATACTCTGTGACCTGTCCTCAGGCAAACAAGCCAGAGGAAGAGTTTATTTCAAACAGTCACGATGCATGTGGAGAGCGAGCACTTCATCTGCACGGGATCTGGTTCGTGTCTCGTATCTCCTGTAAGCTGTTAAGTCAGCAGGACAAACTTCTTAAAACAATAAATGTGCACACACAGACGTAAGCAAACCTTCTTTTCCATCTGAAACTGTGCAGAAACACATTATTCCTACAGGACAATGACCTGTTTTGTTTATAAAGGAATAAAAAAGCAATTAAACAATCTTATTGCGGGCTAAGCCTGCGTTTTCCAAGCTAAAAACTAAACATCTTTCTATCTGGAAAATTTTAAACTGGATTTGACCTGTAACACCATCTAGTCTAAAAAAACTAAAGAAGCTTTCTGATGCATTTATTATTCACTTTATATTTCCTTTAAAGCCTCCAGAAAGAACCACACTAATGAATATTTCTCCCCTGTAAAAGCAAGCCCTTTTTTTTTTTTCCCTGCAACACATTACAACATTACAGGATTTCTTATCTGCATTTCCAGGGTTTAAAGTCTGACCCGGGGTTATTCTAAGCCTCACTGAAGACCTCAGCTCACCTTTTTCATAGCACTGGCAGGTTTACACTCCTATTCTTTACCCAAGTCTGCCACCTGCTGTCAGTGGCCACTTGGTTTGCTTCCAAAATGAAGTTTAGATAGGCCTAAGTTTTTAATTTATTACTTAAAAAAATAGGGGTAAGGATAAGAAGATAAATATAACTTATTTATTTATTTGTGAGAATAAAAAGACAAATGACAATAAAAGAAGTTTGACTGAGGAATAACTTCAATATTGAAGAGAGTGACCATACCATTAAAATCAGTATTATATTAAAAATTATTAGTGTTATATTAAAATGCCTCCAAGATTCCATGCACTTTCCCATAAAACTGTAGAATAAGCATTTGTTTACTTCAGTTTTTGGCCCCTGAGAGCTGCAGCACTGTGTAAATGCAACAGAAGTAAAATGAGAATAGACTGCTTTGCTTCTTGTATCTCCTTGCTGCATCTCCTTGCAGAAATGTAAAATAAAGTTCAGAGCAAGACAAAAAGGAGAAATTCCTATATAATTTCCAATCCTCTAGTGATACTTCTTCTCTAACCTAAAGTTACTCAAAATCTGAGACGAGGAAAGCTCCCAAACAGAGGAGGCTCACCTAGAAAATGCTATTCTTTATAGAGGACCAGAAGAATCTGTACTTTTTTTTTTCTTTTTTTAATCAGCAGAGAGCTACCTGATTTTCTTTAAGCCTATAAGATAACAACACAACACATCAAACTTATTTCCTAGATCTACTAGATCACCCTAGATGCTGCTTAGATCTGTATTTTTAAAAAAATACATAATGAAAATCAATGTCACTACCAGGAAACACTAAGAAAACAAGTAACACCCAGCACCTCTCAATTTACACACAGTTCCATAAACTGGGAAGAGTACAGGGAATAAAGCAAAACAGTAATTGATTTATCAGGCAAGATAAAAAGAAGGACTTAAGCAAGAGGTGAAATCATGGCAGCACATCCCAGTGACTCCCAGAAATGTGATTACCTGGCTTGGGTGGAGCATGAACAACTTTAGCCGAGTGCGATGGCTCCCCAGGGACTGGTGTGTCCTTGTCTGCACAGACCTGGAGAGGATCCGATCCCACCTGCTGCACGTTCACCTCTTCTTTTGTTTCCCCTGAGTCCTCATCTTCCTTCCCCACCCTCTCAGAGTGATCCACAGCCAAGGGAGTCAGTTCAGACTGACTGACGTGAGACTCGCTCTTGTACGGGAAGTCACTCGCGGCCGCATCCTCAATGTGCGAATCCATCGGCTCCTCTGCAGACAACGAGAACGTGGGGGAGTGAATTCCCCTCTGTGCAACCCCAGCTCACCCTCTGCACAGCTACAATTAATACTAAAGTAACTAAATTTCCAATTTGACAAGCGTTTTCCGACAGGTGAAGTGTTTGCAACAGTCTGAAAACAAAGTTTCCTTTATGACCCCCCAGGAACACCGATTCACTTTGGGGAACAGTTTTATTCTCTCCACTAAAACGGGGCAGTCAGTGAGGTGTGACTATTCAGTCACCTGAAAAAAACCCTCTTTGTTTGCTCTTCCTTTTCTCTGCCACCAACCACTCCGCTTAATCCTCTCCAGATTACCGGTTTTAGGGCAGAAGTAAGAGCAGGGTCTAATCCCCTACAGCTCCCAGCTAGAAAGTAGGAATGAGCCCAGGAAAATAAACTGGTCCATGGAAAAAGTAAGGAAACATCTTCACAACTTGGTGCCTGGGCTGCTGAAGTGCTCCTGACTCAAAACACACTGAAAAGACACAGCCCATCCAGGGGTCTGTACACAAAAGGTGCTTAATCCTCCTCCCAAACATCAGCTCTGGTTTTCAAACACTAGAGAGTTTCTTACCTTCACTCGCCACTTTCGAAACATCTCCTTTGGAAAGAAACTTCAACATTTTCTTCAGAACCTTCTTGTGAGATTTGGAGGCCTGAAAATGCAAAGCCTGGCACCTGAAAAAAATGAAAAATCACGAACATTTATTTTGTGGAAGTTTAAAAAAAAATTGTTAAGGAGCCAATAAAAAAATTACACTGCATATGGAATTCTAATTTATTTCTGAAGCTCCCCTATATTAAGTGATCAAATCAAAAAATCACTAAAATGTGAGTGAAAGCCCCTCTTACTTGGGCTACTAAGGCAGTGTTTGTGGGTTACAGACAAGGTTCTTTACAGGAAAATATCCCAGAGATGCTGATGTCCCTATGCACAAACCCAACAGTGCATACTTACTATTGCAAGCATCACTAGAAGCACATAAACTTTTCAAGTATGATGTATTTCAAGCCATAAACACAAATGGTGGAACACATTGTCTGTATTTTGAGCTTCTTACCTTATTGTGTACTGAGGGCAACACGTTTGATTCATGATAGGTTTGTAGACGTATTTTCCACTTCTGAAAATAGTAATAAATATGTATTGATTTTTTTGTTGTTTATATTAAAAAAGTAAATGGAAGAAGAACCTTTTTTACTAAATATTAAAATCATATCAAAGTATTACATGATGAGTAACGAAAGTCAAGAAGTAACTTCTTCAGCTCTTTGCTGCTATACTACATTGTTATCCTTCCAAAATCATTAAATCTTTTCCTGTCTGACAGTGTCACATTACAAAGAGTCCCAGAGCACTGGACAAATTGTTTTATTTCAATTTTAATGTAAACCAGCTAACTGTTTTCAGAGATCTTAATTTTAAATGTGGATTCGAAGCTGTACTTAAACTGACAACATGGCTTTGTATTTTCTCTCTCAATTTACCTTCGCCATCCTCTGTCTATGAGATCCTGGTAATCTTGAACTGTCATCGAATGTGCCCACATACCTGAAATAAATAAAACAGCAGCACTTGACTGACACCATCTGGACTTTAAAATGCAAGTTCTGCAGAACTGGCTGGAGCAGCTCTGCTACTGAGACAGGCTGGGAGACCTGGGAGCCCCTTCCAGTGCACAGAAGGGCTCCAGGAGAGCTGGAGAGGGACTTTGGATAAGGGCATGGAGGGAATGCCTCCCACTGCCAGAGGGCAGGGTTAGATGGGATATTGGAAGGAGTTCTTGGCTGTGAGGGTGGTGATGCCCTGGCACAGGTTACCCAGAGAAGCTGTGGCTGCCCCTGGATCCCTGGAAGTGTCCAAGGCCAGGCTGGATGGGGCTTGGAGCAACCTGGGCTGGTGGAAGGTGTCCCTGCCCGTGGGACCGGGTGACCTTTAAATTCCCTTCCAACTCAAACCATCCTGTGATTCTGCGATTACTGTAAATCTGAGGGTATATATAGACATCTTTCAAGGGTTTGGCATATTCGTTTATATCACGATTACTGATTTCAGCAGCCACATTACGTGTAAAAAACCCCAAACCCAGCACAAATCTTGGGATGCAAATCAACTACTGTACAAGCGCAAAGTTCACCTCTCCCTCTCCTTCCTTAGCCCGAAATAACCCAGGAAAACAACATAAAATCGCTGCTTAATTATGTTAAGACCAGTTGGAAGCACTGGGCGGTCAGAGCAGCTGTTTGCTCCGGGCAAGGTGGGCAGTGGTGCCGCCGAGCCGCCGCCTTCCCCCGCCGCTCTCCCCCGGCCCCTTCCCCGCCGCCAGCGCCCGGCCGGCCGGCCCCCACCCCCGCCCGCGGCTCTCCCCGCGCCGCCCGCACCGTGCGACAGGTTGCCGGTGTCGCTCCTGCAGTATCCGCAGCGGTAGCCATCCTCCCCGCCGAAGAACTCCACGATGCTCGGGGAGCCGCCGCCCGCCGCCATCCCCGCCCGCCTCAGGGCAGCGCCCCGGGCTGCCCGGAAACGCCGCCCGCCGCCATCTTGGCTGCTGGCAGCGCGCGGGCGGCGCGCGCAGGAAGCGGCGGCGCCGCCATGTTCCCCCCGGGCAGGGGCGGCGGGGTTCCCCTCAGCGCTGAGGGACCCCCGGGACACCCCCACACACACCCCCCCGGGATCCCCCCGGAGCCCCGGCCCCGCTCACCCGCCGACACCTTGCCCCGCTCCGAGCCGCAGTAGCCGCAGGTGCGCCCCTCCTTCCAGCCCCTGTACTCCACCACGGCGGCGGGCATGGCGCCGGCCGCCTCGCAGCGCCCCCGCCCGGGCCGGGCCCGCGCCGCCCCTCAGGGCAGGGTTGGCAGCACAACGGCTCGGCTCAGCTCGGCTCGGCCCGGCCGGGATGCTCCAACCCCCTTTCCCTCGCGGCCTGACCGGTTTCTCACTCCTACTCTCAACAATTTCCCAGATCGCTCAGTACCCGGCTGCTGCAGCGGGATAAAAGGATGGAAGAAATAATCGCATCGCCGTTTGCTGTAAGCCTCAGTTTGGACAATATAACTCTTGTCAGGTTTTGTCTTTTCCGAAATTTTTATTTTAGAAAATTAATTTTAATTACTTGAAATTCTGAAATCCAAACTGTAGTTTGAAGTGCAAATCTAGGGACTCAAAAAGAATGTAAAACCTTGCACACCGCTCTACTTTTCACTTTTCTGTAACTCCAGAGGCAGTGCTCCCCCACAGAGCATTTTCTGGAAAGGGAGATAGACTTTATTCATTTTTTAACAAAATAATATTGTGGTCCAATAGAGCTTAGGTCCTGCTTAAGTTACCAACCAAACACAGGTGGAGTTTGGAAAAAACAAAAAAAAAAAGAGGGGAATTGCTATCTGTCATTAGGACCAAATTTCCAAACTCAAACCTTTATTTCCAGAACAGCAAGAACACTTATCAATGTCTCCTGCAACACCCAAAATCATGTGGATTAGCAAGATTATCCCAGCAGGGATGGGTAACTGTGTAAATTCTACGTGTTGCTGCAGCTGGGGAGAGACAAGGGAGGAAGGAAGGGACACGGTGTTTCCTTATTATATAACCTAGCGAGTGTCAGTGTATATATAGAGTAGTAAACTAAGCCAGAATTAATAGAGACTACATATTAATAACCCTGTGACAAGTCTAAACTTCTCAGGTTGCCCAGAGAAGCTGTGGCTGCCCCATCCCTGGGAGTGTCCAAGGCCAGGTTGGAGCAGCCTGGGCTAATGGAAGGTGTCCCTGCCCATGGCAGAGGGGTGGAATGAGATGAGCTTTAAAGGCCCCCTCCCACCCAAACCGTTCCATGATTCTGAACAAAGCAGCTTATACGGTGTTGAGATGTTCTGATAAGAATAAAATTTATTTTACAATATATACATATAAAACAATTTTCTGGGGAAAACATTCTGAAGTGTTTTCTTTAAGGCACCTAGGGGGAGAGAAAAAGAAAACAATAGACAATATGCAATAAAATTTTTGGAACTTACAAAATGACTGTGACAGTAAGAGAATTCAGTCCTATCACTGAAAGAATTTTAGGGAATTTAGGAACAGTCTGGTTCCCTCTAAGTCCTTCTTCACACTACTTGTATTAACAACATCAGCTGTCACTAAGTTAAAAAAACAAACAGAAAAACTAAGTTATGATTCTTCCCAACATTGCATTCCAAGTATGAAGTTCCAAAAATTAACTCAAGTCTATCACTGAACTGACCATCAGACGTAAAAATAAAGGTTTTTTTCCCCAGGGTAATTACAGCACACAAGACTAGATTACATTTTGTTCCATGAAGAGAGCAAGAAGACAGCAATGTTCCAATATTACAGGCACCCTGATTACAGTTCTACATTTTTAAGTCCCACATAGTTTCCCTGCAGTTCTTCCAGGTGCATAAGGAACTCATGCACTGGATCCTTACTGGGTTTGATTTATTAAAAGAACTTACTTGAAAAATTATTATGTCTCCATTTCCTCTTCAGTGCTCTGAAAAGGAGGGCTTATCATGGCTTCTGTTATTTCAAATGCTTCAATGATCTCCTGGTTAGAGACGACAGCAGTCAGTCACAAGAGCTGGACTATTTTAATTTAATTACCAAATTAAATAATGACATTTCTGACACTAAAGCGCCATTTCAAATTATTATGTTTCTCCTGCATATTCCGAGTGAGGGACAAAGAAGAAGAGCTGTACAGGCTCAAAACTACTTTTTGTCTTCTAAGGTTTACTACAAACAGCAAAATAGTGGGGAAGAATAATGGGAACACCTCCTGAGAGCATGAGCAGCCCAGCTCTTTGGATGCATTCCTGCATTTAAGGTAAGAGGAACTAATGCAAAGTATCAAAAGGTCTCTGTGGTACCTTCCATTCTTCCTGGGTCAGAGACATGACAAGTTGTTCCCGTGCTCCCGGTCCCCGGTTGATCTCCCCTACCTTCCTGGATTTTGTAGGCTCTGATCAAAATAACAGTATTTTCAGTATTTACACTTGCAAAGCCAGTTTTCCTCCAGGAACACAAAAAGCTCCACAAAAATCAAATAAATTCCTCGTGTTCCACCCAGTTAATAGCCTGCAATGCTTAAGAGATTGCCTTTATCTCAGCCTGTCAATATTTAGGAACTAATGTTTTTCAGAGTCCCAGAAAGACATAAGTATTTCATTCCTTATGAAATCCCACCAAAGTCTCAACCCCATTGACATCCTGTGGGAATGAAAGCCAAAGACCTCGTGTAGCATGGAATTTCCTTTCCAACTGTTCTGTAGCTGCAGCAGTTCCCAACCCAACAGAGGCAACAGAGGCTTCTTGCACACAAAAAATACTTTAGCAAAAATGTACCTTGAAAGGTAATAATCTTTGGTTTCTTTTAATAGAATTAATTTGTATAAATCAGCACAATGGTCTTTTTTCATATATTGGTATTTAAAAACACTCAATTCTTTCAGCCCCTCATAAATCTCTTCATGCCTTCAATTACGTTCCCAGCTAAACATCAACCTGAAACTTTGTGAACATGTAACATGTAATGTTGTAGCAAAAAACAATTAGGGTCTTTTAAAGCTAGCTTTTACCTATTATTGGCAGTTTATCATTATCCAGTTTTACTTCTGCAAGACCATCCTAAAAGACAGTGGGATTTAAAGTTTCAGAAGTTAGAGGTATCCAGTTAGGATAATGCACTGAGATTTCGTGTTTTTACTTACTACATAATCATAAACAGGTACATATATTGATAAAGAATCTTCATTGGCATAACAAACATGAGGAAATATTTAAATATAGCACTTATTAATGAAGAATGCAGCCCATATAGAACAGTGGCTAACTGGGATTATGAAAACTTTGCTTCATTAAAATCATTATTATTCATTAAATACACTTGAGATAACCCTTCATAATCACATCACTATTCATTATAAACCTGAATTTAGTCAGAATATCTTCGTCAGTTTTGGTATTTTAAAATTAATTTTATTTATTAGACAAACTAAATACAATTTCAAGTGCAAATCTATGCATTCAAAAAGAATATAAACCCCTGCACTAACATACTCTTCTACAACCTCAATAACTCTTCTGTACTCTGTGATTACTTTCTTATATCTCAAGGGTAAGCCAGAATCTTTTCTGAAAAGCATATTGACAGCAAAATTTCACTATTGTTGGTAAATTGATTGCAGCAGAAAAATCGAAGAAAAAAATTAGCCTGTCAATTCTGTTTTCTCTTTTATTCAATTACCAAAATATCACGGGCTGTTTGTAGCAAATAAATCGGTATTCCTAATATTTAAAACCTAACTTTTCTATCTTGAAGACATAAAATGAACAAATCAGGATGTCCAGATAACTCCAATATCTAAAGTGAGACTTCAAGGACGTACCAAGCCTTACCCTTATGAGGAAGGACACGTGAAACATGTTTTCCACAGTGCGTGCAAAGGAGTTTGGATCAATCACAAAATCGAAGAAGGAAATGGGGGTATCAGCTGGAGATGCAAAAATGGCTTTGTTAAAACAAACAAACAGGTGGCAGACGTGGAGTTAAAAGACGTAAAACAAAGAGAGACAGTGCTCCTTTCAAAACCCAACAGAATGTTTGTCAATTTAGTTAACAATGCTGAATTCCCTGCTGCCTGCAAAAGAAACACATCTATAGAGTTTATTATTTTCTTCCATCTTTTCCCCCATGCAGATCCATAAGCAGGGATTATTTGGTTGCCTTCTAAGAAGTGGCAGGCTCTACTCAGGGGGAGAGGATTCACATTTACTCTGCAGCCAAACAGCCACCAACGAGTGTTCATAAAAAATCCATAGTTGGTAGATGTGCTTCTATATTAAGATTTCTACTTGCAAATTTCACCTCATTTTGGCTCTGCAGTTTAACCACTCCCAACTGTAAAAACCCGTGAATATTCATTTTCTCCAATTCATGCTTAATTTCCTCATACTTACGATCACTTTCAAAAAGAGTCTGCAGTATTCCCAAAATCCTCTCTACTTCTCTTTCTGTAGCTTCCTCATGAGACTCCTCCATTTTTTTTAACTGGGAAAAAGCAACAGAGATTCACCTCAAATAACCACTGTTGTATTATGGGAATATGCAAAGGGCCTTTTATGAACACAGAACATAAAAGTTGAATTTTTCTCCCTACGTGCACCATCATAAACACACTTGTGCAAACATGAGACAACTTCCTAAGAGCTTTAGGGTTTAGGTCCCATCTTAAAATATCAAACTGAAAGGCTACACAGTTTGTAATTACAAAACCCAAACCGACATGAACAGAAAGCTCGAGAAGTCACGAGTAATAACTATGCCAGAACAAGTGGTTAATAAAGATAACGCTTCACAAACCTGAGTGGGCATTATCTGTTTTGCTTCTCCTCTTGAAGCCTTTTTCTGCCTCTCAATCCGTTGCTTTGCTACAGGAGGTTCAGACTTGAAAGATCCCAACCTAACAGAAATACAAAGAACATGTCCATGGAAAT